CAAGGAGATGTCATCAAGTTCATAAAAGAGGATCTGATCCACAGGTTTGGTCTTCCAGAGACTATCACTTCTGATCAAGGTACTACTTTTGTTGGATCTCAAGTAGAGGCCTTTGCAAAAGACATGGGATTTCATTTGCTTAATTCAACTCCGCATTATGCACAAGCAAATGGTCAAGCAAAGGCATCTAATAAGATTATCATCAACATCCTGGAGAAAATGGTTGATGATAATCCCAGGAGATGGCATGAGCTTCTTTCAGATACTCTTTGGGCATACAGAACCTCACAACGGAGTTCAACTAAGGTGACTCCATTCTCACTTACTTATGGTTATGATGCTGTCTTGCCTATGGAATTAACGGCAAGGTCTCTGCGGATTGCAATTCAAAATGGCTTGGATTCTGGGGAATACAATGAGGCCATGATCATGGAGTTGGAAGACCTTGAGGAAGCAAGGCTAACATCATTGGATGTGATGAAGGCCCAGAAGCTTAAAGTGGCACGAGCTTACAACAAAAGGGTTAAGCAAAAGAATCTAGCCGAAGGAAGCTTGGTTTGGAAGGCTGTGCTGCCACTTGGCAAGAAAGATCTCAGATATGGTAAGTGGTCTCCTAATTGGGAAGGACCATTCCAAACTCATAAAGTTCTTAAAGGAGGTGCTTATTGGTTAAAATCTTTGAATGGGGAGTTGCATCCGCGCAAGATCAATGGCATCTACTTGAAACCATATTATCCGACTGTGTGGGAGGCAAGGGATAGTTCTGCCTCCACGTCTGCCCAGGTTTGCAGACATTTGTATATTATTTGATTCAAGTTGTTTTTCTTTCAATAAGGACACGTAGAGTTTTGGCTTGAACCATGGAAGCATACATAAGACTTGGTGCTGCCAAGGAGGCATGGCATGTTCTTACATTTGTGTTTTAGAGCGGCTTTGTTTGCAAAGCCGTGGGCAGCATGAATAAAGCAAGTGAATAAATTCATGTTTATCATTAGAAGAAGAAAATAAAAAGAAGTCTGGAAACAAATGTTCAAGCGGCTTAATGGCTGTGACAAGGAGGAATGATGCTAAAAAAAAAAAAAAAAAAAATCCTAGCAAAGGTTTTGCATCCAGGTGGCCCACTCATCTTTCATTTGCTGCATCGTGTTGTTGGCTTCCTTTGCTTTCTCCTCTTGTTGTGCAGCTTCACTCTTTGCAGCCAAAGCTTCACGTCCTTCTTCCTTGAGCTCAACTAGTAATTTACTCCTCTCGGCTCTAAGGGATTTGAGGCTGCCTCCTTGCTGTAACTCTCAAGCAGGAAATTGGCTAGCCATGGCTGGAATGGCTTGACAGAGACGATGCGAAAACTAAAAAGACAAAAAGAGAGAAATGGCTGCAAATCTGTGATGATGGTTATCGGAGGAGTGGCTGTGTTTTATAATGAATTGCAGTTGATCATGTTTCCAAGTCGTAAGTGGTGAAGAATTGCAATTGCGTCACAGAAGTTGCAGTTGGCCACGCTTCTGATTCCAAAACGGAGAAGAAATGTAAACAACAAAAGGAGACAAGGGTACAAAGAAGTTGAGTACTGTCACTAAGGTCCTAAATTTTTGACACTTACTCCCGTAAGGCCAAAAATTGGGGGGCAATGTTTACACCTAATTTTACAACAAATGGAGTGCTGCCACGTGTCACCCATGATTGCAGATATTTTTTGGTTAAATACCCTTTTTGGTCCCTCTACTATAGGAAAAAGCCCCTTTTTAGTCCCTATACTGAAAAAATCCCTTTTTTGGTCCTTAAATTTTAAAATCCGGCCCCTTTTTAGTCCTTCCGTTAAATTTTGTCTGAGGTGGCAAGTTAATTAACGGAAAATTCTATTTTATTTTTTACTTAGATTACGTGGAAAATCCACCTCACAAAAGTCGATGACAGGCCTAACTTTTTTTACGTTTAATTACTTATATAGCCTTATCTTCTTCTCCATCCTTTCCTTTCTCCGGTTTTTTTTTTCTTTTTATTTTTTCTTTTACCTCCAGCAAACCCAGGAGCTGGGTTCTGAACCCAAGTGCCTGGGTTCATCGTGGGTTCCTGGGTTCGTTTTATCTTCTTCTCCATCCTTTCCTTTCTCTAGTTTTTTTTTTCTTTTTTTTTTTCTTTTTCCTCCAGGCAAACCCAGGAGCTGGGTTCTGAACCCAAGCGCCTGGCTTGGGTTCGCGATGAACCCAGGCGCTTGGGTTCATCGTGAACCCAGGAACCCACGATGAACCCAGGCGCTTGGGTTCAGAACCCAGCTCCTGGGTTTGCCTGGAGGAAAAAGAAAAAAAGAGAAAAAAAAACCGGAGAAAGGAAAGGATGGAGAAGAAGATAAAATGAACCCAGGAACCCACGATGAACCCAGGCACAAGAACAATAGAGTGGGAAAGATGGGGTTTGTGGATTAGAGGTCGTTTTGGAATGTGTTTCGGAGCTTCGATAGGCTATGGGTTTTGTTGATTTTGTTTTTGCAGGAATGATAATTGTTGCTTGGGAGGAGACATAGTCTAGATGGAAAGCACTAAAGAGAAGAGAGGTGTAGGTGAAATTGTT